AATGCTGAATGTAAACATCAACATGATATTGAGTGCACATTATCTCTATCGGCACCCTCCTCTCTCCCCCATTCCTTCTAGGCTGATGCTGCTGAAACTACAGTCTTTCTTATCAATCGACTGCCAACTCTGGGTCTTGATAATCTCTTTCCTCATGAGAAGTTGTTTGGCAAACCTCTTGATTATTCTATGTTAAAGGTATTTGGTTGCAAATGTTATCCTCTCCTTCGGCCTTATAATTCGCACAAGATGGATTTTTCGATCTACTCCTTGTATCTTTATTGGCTACAACAACAATCACAAAAGGTACCGTTGTTACAACCCCGCTACTAGTAAAGAAATCATTGCTCGACATGTTGTTTTTTATGAACATTCCTTTCCCGGATTTGTACAGTCATCGCCATCTTTCAGCCTTGCTGCTCCCACTGGCATTACTCTCCCTTCTCTGGGTATCATTAATGCTGACACGTGTCCAGCTCCTGCTACTCCTACCCCTGAGGTATCTCCTTCTTCCTTGCCATCTATATCTGCTACTAATGAGGAATCTACTACTTCTTCCTCTGAACCAGAACAATAAGTTTCCATCACTGATGATCTCTTACCAGTTCGGCACACCAGACCTATTCAGGAACTGCTCGACACAACTCCTATTGTAGGACCTCCTGTGTGCACTCATTCAATGGCAACAAGGTCTATGACATCCAAATTAGCTTAGGTTTTATTTGCTACTCATCGTCCTCTTCCATCTACTCTACTTCATGATGTTGCTACTCTTGAAGAGGATCCCTCTTCTTACGGACAAGTTGCTAAGTCCCCTCATTGGCGCTCTACCATGACTACCGAATTTCATGCATTAATTCAAAATGGTACTTGGGAGTTAGTTCCCTATGATACTTCTATGAATGTAGTTGGGTCCGAGTGGGTTTTCAAAATCAAACGGCACCCTGATGGTTCAATTGATCATTACAAGGCTCGTCTTGTCGCCCAAGGTTTCACTCAAGTTCCAGGGGTTGACTTCACTGAGACTTTCAGTCTTGTGGTCAAACCTGCAATTGTGCACATTGTTCTCTCACTTGTAGTTTCTCGTGGATGGGACATTCAATAGTTGGACATCCATAATGCCTTTATTAATGGTTTTATCACTGAAACTATTTATATGCATCAATTGAAAGGTTTTGAGGATAGCCATTATCCCCATCATGTTTGCAAACTTCAAAAGGCCCTCTATGGACTCAAATAGGATCATTGGGCTTGGTTCTCTCATTTGAGCAATAGATTATATGACCTTTGTTTTCGTGGTTCACAATGTGACCCCTCCCTGTCTATCTACAGTCAAAATCAGATCACCATTTATATTCTTGTTTATGTTGATGATACTACACTAGCTCTTCTTCTACTCATGTTTCTCAACTTATTAGCAGTTTGTCTTAGACTTTTGCCCTGAAAGATTTGGGGTCATTGCACTACTTTCTTGGTGTTGAATCTCACCGTGATGCCATGGGATTGTTTCTCTCTTAGCGTAAGTACATTTTTGATCTCTTGCTGAAGACTAACCTTGTTGCGGTCAAACCAGTTTCTAGTATGATGGCCACCTCATCTCGCCTCTCACGGTTTGATGGTGAACCGTTATCTAATCCCACTCAGTACTGGAGCATTGTAGGTGCTCTTCAGTATGCCACTCTCACTAGGCCAGATGTTACCTTTGCAGTTAATAAAGTTTGTCAAATTTTACATGCTCCTACTAATGAACATTGGAGCGTAGTTAAATGAATTTTGTGGTATCTCAAAGGTACTGTTGATACTGGCTTATTTTTCTCGGCACACACATCAGAAACATTGACTGCTTACTCTGATGATGATTGGGCTGGCTGCCCTGATGACAAACGGTCTACTGGTGGATATGGCATTTTTCTTGGATCTCACTTGATCTCGTGGAGTTCTAAGAAACAACCTATTATTGCTCGATCCAGCACAGAGGCTGAATTTCGAGCTCTAGCTAATGCCAGCACGAAACTCTTGTGGCTGAATTCTCTTTTCTCTGATATGGGAGTCAAAATCCAGTCACCACCGGTTCTATACTGCGATAATATTGGGGCCATGTATCTTGTAGCTCATCCCATTTTCCGTGCCCATACTAAACACATTGAGGTCAATTTTCATTTTCTTTGAGATCTTATTGTTAAGAAGTCTCTGGTGGTGTAGTTTCTTCCCACTCAGGACCAAATTGCTGACATTTTCGCTAAGCCAATCTCCTCTCACCGGTTCGAGTGGCTTCGGTCCAAGCTTCGAGTGCTTCCAGCACACTTTCGCTTGAGGGGGTGTATTGAGGAGTCAACCAACCCTAGCTCTCCTCCTCTTACCAAAGATAGCTCTAGCCTTCTTGCTAAAGAGAGCTCTAGAACTCTTACCAAAGAGAGCTCTAGATCTCTTACCAAAGAAGGCTCTAGTCTTCCTGCTAAAGCAGGACCAACTACTATACAAAGAGTTCTTACTGTAGAGAGACCAATCAAAGCAAAAAGGAAACTCTCCTCTTAGGAAGTTTCCTACTGAAGCTCCTTCCTTATTTTTTTATTTCTATACTTGTAATTATTTCCAATTTATTCTTTATTGTTCTTCTATATATTCAGCCTTGTACAATCACTTTATAATTAATGAAATTCGACCTATTCTTTGAAGACCACTCTCTTCATATTACTCTAATTGAAGTGATCACCGATGGTCGATGATCTCATCTACGTCTTAAAAACCACTGGTTGCCACTCCGATACCTGGTGGTAATTATCACAAAAGGTCGAGAAAATTTGGAAAAATTATACATTTATTCTCTTTATCACCGTTTAAACAAATTACTTTGTTTGCAAATCTTTTCTATAAAGTTTGGAGAAGAAAAATAAAAATCCAAGATACCTAAAACAGGTTCTTTCTTATAGTCTCAAAATAAATAAGAGAAAATAATAGAATCATCCCAAATAGAAGAGAGAGGGCCCTTGAAGGAATCTAAGAGACTTAAATCTTGACATATATTGCATTAAGAAAGGTTTTTAAGGATTTACATATATTTTAATGAGACAATGATTAAAAAACAAAGTGAGATGTAACATAAAACTCTACAAGTATAAGATAAAGTGAGCTGAAATGTAAAATTAACCTAAACAAGTGGTTGAAGTTGCAAATGTCCAAAATATAACCTCCAATGAAATGAACTTTCAAAGTTGGTAAGCTCTGAGAAATTGCATGTTTGATGCAAAGACTATACTAATGTTGAGAATTTGAAATTGATAGAGAAAGAGAATGATAGATGAATGAGAATGTAGAGTGTTGGATGTGATGTTGAATTCGGTTGAAAGTACAGACCTGCAGCTATGTAGGTCCCATTCTCCTTCTCTAATTCTATCTCTTCATAGACGTTGTCATGTGTTTAAAGATGCATTTTTTATTTGAAAATTAACAAAGTAGACTTTACCCACACTTTGTTAAAATAGGTTTTTTATCAATGAATAAATATTTTATTAATCCAGAAAACAAGAGTTATAGGTGATCCAAGGAAAGGCAAGAGATGCACCCTTTCCTTTTAGATTAATTACAACATGCAAAATCAAATGAACATGTTACAAGGTAGCCCAAAATAAAGAGTCCCGAGAAACCCCCTATTTAGCAAGTGAGTCAACCATTGAGTTTGTTGATCTATCTACCCACTAGATTCTAATTGTCATATTTCTTGTTATCCATTTGATTTTTTAAGGAGATCTTTATAACCCCAAATCATAGAGTCCGGATTCAGCAGTCATCCCACCACCACCTAAGAACCCCCTTCAATAAGCAAGTGGTCTATCCCTAACTGGTTTGCAAGTTGGATACCTTGTACATCAGCAAGCAATTTATCCCTTATAGAGTCTCCCAGATCCACATGCCTTGAGTATAAGGATATGATAATATTGTCTCTATTTCTCATAATTCCTCCTATACTCGAAGGTCTAGGGTTACCTCTACTACTCCCATCAAAATTCAGCTTAACAAACTCCTCCCCACGTGGCACCCATGGTATCAAAAGTTTGTTTTTCTTTCTTGGTAGAAGTATTAGCCACTACTATTCTTCCATAGGTCATCAAAGGAATAACTATCAAACAAATGTTTTCAACCATTTAATTGCCTTTGTCAAAACATAGTCCTTAACTTCTGATACACTTCTTTCATTTTCAAAAAAAAAAAAAATTCTGGTGTTCCTTTCTCCCCAAACAATCCACAAGATTGCTGCTTGAATACACTTCCACATAATTCTCCCTCTCTTTGTGTGCCACTCAAAAGTAAACGGACTGAACAACAAACTAATATCAGATGACATGTTCCACCTACTCTCAAACAACCCAAAAATCCAATCCCATAAAGCTGCAATAAAGGAACAAGAGATAAATAAGTGGTAATAATAGTCATCACTTTGTTGAAATAGGTTGGTGTCTAAAAAAGAAATTTTCTTTTGAAATTTAAAAACCTTAGAGATACTAAAACCCCCACGTTCTAGAATTTTTTACCTAAAAGTTAGGAAGGTGGGTTTACCCAAGAGGAAACGAACAGGCACTTACTTTGTTGAAACATGTTGAGAGGTGTCTAAAAAGAAATTTTTTGAAACTTAAAAGTTAAAACCCAATATTTGAGATACTAAAAACTTCACATTTGAGATCCCATTTCTTGAATTAATAGAAAGCCACATATTTGAGAGACCTCTAGTTTGACTATATTAATTTAATATATATATATATTATATTAGATATGGTATTGAAAATAATTGGGTATAATCCGCAGCAGATTAGATATAATCGGGTCTAATTGGCTTGACTAGTTTGAAAATCCTACATGGCAATTTTAAGCCGGTTCGGATGGTTTCCCTGTCCCGAACCAGATCCGACCCATTAACACTTTGACAGCCGTTGGCGCGATGTCCTTTCGAGGTCGTGTCCGATATTATCGCAAGTTTTGGAGGGTATCTATGAGATACTATTCTCCTATCTTGCTTACATTCTTCCAACTTGTCTGGTTTTTAAGGTTTTTTTCTTTACTGAACAAGCGAGGAAGCGGGAGAGAACAGAAGAGAAACGAGCACAGAACGGTATTTTGTGAAAATAATGCAGGTAGGTTAAACTCTTGTTTATTTTTTAATGATCCTTGGTGGTTAATCTCAGTTTTTTCTTCGGTTTTTATTTTTATTTTTGTTTTTGAATTTTCAGACTAGAACAGTTGAAGTAGGACATGTATCAGATCTAGCTGGAGAAAGAGAAATTCAGGAATTTTTTTCTTTTTCTGGAGATATAGAACACATAGAGATCCAATGGTTTGTACTTCTTCTCCTTCTGAGATCCTTGTAGGTTCGAATTAACTATAGATATGATAATCTATTTGCTTCTTCTTTTTTTCTTTTTGCAAAAATTAATCTTAGGATTTTAATGTGTAGAACTTCTCTTTGTTAGTTACTATATATTTTTTTTTCTGGCATTTGCTTCGTGTAGGATGAATTGGGTTCTATTAAATGTTTTGGGATTTTGTGTGCAGTGAAGCTGGGAAATCGAAGACTGCGTTTGTCACATTCAAAGATCCGAAAGCACTGGAAATTGCTTTGCTGTTATCGGTACCACCCTATTAGCCGATTTTCTTGTTGGCCTGGTTTCTGGCTTTATTGTAATTTCTTAACTTAATTTACTGATTTCTGGATTAAAGCTTCGCCGGGCGTAGCATCTATTTGGAATATTGCTGTCTGTTTGTATATAATACTCTTAAATGTGAACCGTTTTAAAAAAAATGCATAGTAGTTTCGATTTATCATTGATAAAAAAAATGGTTTCCTTTTACTATTTTAGATCAATAACATGATTTCCATTTATTTCAATATGGTGGTGATTGAAGTAATAAAATTGAAGATTAGCACAGATTAGAATATAGAAGACTAATTGAGTGTTGTTTGTGCAAATGCAATCAACCATCTTATCCTCTTGAGTGTTAGATTCTGTCTTATGTATGCAAGTATGTTAATGCACTGGTTGGTTATACTGTCATCAGGATTCAGGATAGAGAAAAATTCAGTGGTTTTGAGCCTTTTTTTGATCAGCAAATAAACTTCATTTATTAACTTGAAATAAGATTACAAATGTTTTAGTTATTGAGCTGCTCAATTTACAAAGGAAACAAGAGCTTTCAAGTACATAGGTCACCCAGTTTCTTTTTCACTGCAGCAATTACCGCTTTGCCCAAAATAAGGTTGTTCTATCTGCCCCCTGCTTTGCTAAAACATCTGCCAATCCATTTGCTGTTCTTGTTACCCATCCAAACTTTGCATTAACCTTTCTTGCAAGATGATCAATCTCCCTGAAAGCAAATCTGTACTTCCAGGGTGCTGACTGTATTTTCTTTGCCCAATAAATCGCCAAGAGTGCATCTCCTTCAACTTCTAAATCTCTAACTCCTAGTTGCGAAGCTAGTTTCAAACCTTGCAGCAGAGCCATAATTTCAGCCTATACTGAATCTCCAAAGCCTATTGCTCCTGAGAATAGAGCCATTTACTACTCCTTGAAAGTTTCTGATAGCTCCCCTTATGCCTGCCCTCCCTGGATTGCCAAAGGAGCTAACATCAAAGTTTAACTTCAACTTATTTACCTCTTGTGGTTTCCAATCCATTCTAACTACTTTATGTGTGTCTGTTTGTACCACTTCAGTTCATTTCCATAATATGTCATTTGTAGAAACGTCTCTAAAGAAGTCCAATGTTTTTACCTAGTGTGTTGATCTAACTTTTATAGATTCAATCACTTCCTCCTTGGATCTTTTCATTGAAAATCTGATTATTTCTTTCCTCCTAGATAATCCAGACCAAGGCTGCCCTTATTGTCCTCCACAAACATCTTCCCCTTTTTTCTGTTGCTTCAAGAAGTTGGGGTTGAATAAACTAACTACATGTAGCAGGGGAGCCCTACAACCAAAGAGAGAACAGAAAAAGTCTCAAATGCATGACACAAAGGAGTGGGAGATTAATAAATAAGGAAGGGTCTCACCACAAGCCTTACAGAGGATACACACATGAGGAGAGAGGCAATTATTTGGCCCTCTTTTCTGTAGCATGTCCCATGTGTTAACTTTTCCAAGGAACACTTCTCAACAAAGAGTTTGTACTTTGGGAGGAATTGGTTTGCACTGGATTTCTCTCATTGTGAAATTTACCCCCAAAGAGTTTGAGTAGATGAGTAGGTTGAAAAAGGAAGCATACGATATGGGGGAGGAAACTAAACCCTTGCCATCTAGAGAGTTCTGGTCTAGAAACACCTTTTCCAACAAATAAAGTAACAGTATAAGTCAATCACACTCATTATCCTTTAAACCCCTTTTGAAGCTAAAGTCCCAGTTTAAAACAGAGTTTGATGGCGCCCCAAATCTAGAAACAGGTTCTGCCTTAAGGTTTGACAAAGAAAAGAATCCTGGGAATTCTAGATTAAGGGGGTATTCCCAATCCAAAGGTCTTTCCAGAATAAGACACGATCCCCACAACCCACATCAAAACGGATAAAATTAAGGTTGGTAATACCTCAGAGATTACTTTCCACAGGGAATTTGAGGTTGCATGAGGTTCTATCTTTGCATCCCAACCGTTGTCCACCACATCGTGAATGCTTCCAATGATCTTGTGCCAAAGCCTATCTCCTTCTAAGGGGAATCTCCAAAGCCATTTTCCTATAAGGGCTGTGTTCCGTTTAACTATGTTCCCAAATTAGTCCTCCTTGTTCCTTTGATTTACATACCTGTTCTACTCACTCGATCCTCATGATTCGAGCTTCACTGCCATCTACTAATTTGGTGTAGTAGATTGCATCCTGTAGGTGTGCCTCTAATCACTTGAATCGTACCCTGGTGGTAGGTATGCGAACCACCTATCCAATGTCTCTAGCTTTGATGCATTGGTGATATGTAGATGGGACTAGGTTGAGGTAGGGGATTAACAGTTGGCCGAGATAAAGAATAGTCCTATGACCACAAGGAGCATGATGGAGCCACATGTTGCCGAGATATTTTCATTGAAGCTTGTGACTTCCATCAGCAACCCACGGACGTCGTCTTTTGCAATCTTCATCGGCCGTAGCGTGTGCATGGAAATTAGGTTTATAAAGCTTCCTTGGTCAACTAGTGGCCGTCGCATCTCATGCCCGTAGATCCTGGCTATGATATACAAAGGTCTATTATGATGAGGGTCGGTGGCCAACATGTCATCATTGCAGAATTCGATGTTGAAGTGGCTCGGTCTGTGTTGATCCTGTGGGTGTTTGAATGTCTCCACTAGGGCCCTTATCACACTTCTTCGTGTTGAATTGGCAGCCTCTTGCTTCATAAAAAATTGGTGCGGTTTATTGCTTTGCTTGAACCGCGTGAGAAGAGTGTTCGGTGCTGCATGGCCGTAGTTGATTGTCCTGACCACGTTGGTGCTACCCCCTTGTCAATGATTGGGCAGGAGGTTGGTCCACTTTGGCTGGCTGTCGCTTCAAGAATTCGTCTAATTTTACCTTCTGGACAAATATTCGCTACAAGGCAAAAGTAATCCATGAGGTCTTGTGTGTTCGATTGGTGGTAATCACAACACCATGGTCCATGTTTGTCTTTCTTTGGGTTAACATGAGGGGGTGGGGCGGTAGGTTTATGACTCGATCCTCCACTAGCTTCTTCATGATTAAGATCACCTTGCATTTGGTGCATCCGAATGGAGGTGGGCCATCATCACGTCTCCCTTGGCTCCCAGGTCTGAAATAGGGAACTTGCCTGGGTCCCCAGTTGGTGCATTGTCTACAATTAACTACGTATGCCTCATGTCGCGGCTGCTGGTACTATTGGCTGGACCTATATTGCTAGGAAGCTAGAGAAGCGACTATTCTTGCCATTCTCTTCGCGCAATGCCAGAGTTGATTGAAGCTGGTCAGCTTGACGTTCTCGATTTTGATCCGGTATGCCGGCTATATTCCTTGGACACATTGCTCAACAAAGTCCTCCAAGGCGTGCTCATCGAATACTGTGTGGGTGAGCTTCTGGAATTGCAACACTTAAGCCAGGAGGTCCTCTCTAGAGCGCTGCTCGATGATGCGCAGGTTAGCCATAGTGAGTTGTTGCTCTAGGGTGAACCACTTGGCTAGGAATTTGTTGGTGAGTTCCTCCCACGAATCCAAACTTCCGGATGCTAGGTTAATGAACCACGAATAGGTTGATCTGGTCAGTGACTTGGAGATCTCTCAGACTTAAGGTCTTCGTCGAAGGTGAAGGACCCTAGTGCATCTTCAAATTTGCTCACGCGTTCCTAAGGACTGCCTTTCTACCCATCGTACAATGGCCATTGTTGGGGTGCTATGTATCCAACAGGGTTAAGGCTTGTGGAGAATCTTGCTAGAGTAAGATTTTTGGAGAAGGGTGGAGGCTCGGGTCTTGTTTTGGTTTGTTTGTTGTCGTTCCATCTGTTTGAAGCAGCTTTCGAACTCGTAGACCTTGTGGGATAGGATTTCTTTGTCTGCACAATCCCCAGATTTTGGGGGGAACTGGGACCTCAGTCTCTTCGTTTAGGGATAAATCTCCATTCTCAATGGGTTCCTTCCGAATGGGGGTAATGTTGCTCCTTTTGGTGGCCATCTCTGTGATCAGGGAAGTAACTAGAGATTCTAATGTAGGCAGGGTGGTAAGGCAAGGGAAGTTGGTCTCCATGAAGGATAGAGGATGACTGGGAGTGTGTAGGGAGGGGGAGTTTAGTGAGAAGGATATGAGGACGTTAGCAAGGGAGGTAGGAAGGCAGTGATTCTCTCAGTGCTCTCAAGATGGATCTCCTATCGAGGTCTTTTGGGCCTTCTCTTATAGATGAATAGCTGAGGCTATAAAGGGAGACAAGAAAACGACAAAAGGGAGCTTTCCTGTCTCGAAAAGGTGGTTATGATTCACCGAGTACCTAATGGGTAAGCCCCTTTAGGGTTTCACCATGTGTCCAATGTGAATCTCTTGGGATTAGAGTTTCCTGTCTCTTGAGACCCTTACGTGAGCACGCGCATGGCTACAGCCCTTTGTGCTTAATCACAATCACATGTTGAAGGTAAGGTCATCTTAAACGATAACAAAACTTGGTGGTAATAGAGTACCGTCGTGGTTACCTGCACAGTGTGTTCTGTTGGCAGGTTCGCATAGACATAATTGGCAACTATAGCTTTCTCTCATGAGAACATCGCAAGTGCCTTTGTGGCATCGGCATTCTTGTGCAATCTCAAATCATTGCAAATTTCTTCGGTTACATTTTTGTGACATCTTTGGCAATAGATATAGTGCTCATTGCAGGTTCTATCGTGGTCACCTTTGTATTGTCATGGTCTTCATGGCAATCTCCGCGATACTGATCTACATGTACTTACAACACCTGTTGCCTCCTTTCCACAAGCACCAACATAGTGGGAAGGGAAAAAGTACCAAAAAATGCTAACTTTTATAAGTTTGTCGAGACAATGAGGCAATGGCTAATTGTTTTGGCCTACCTAGGTGTTGTAACTATTTGGTGCCCAAACATTGACTAGTCAACCACTAGAATTATATTATTTGAGCTTAAGATATTTATGGAAGATCATACAT